GGGGCGGACACTGTTCCGTTGTTGCTGCATCTGTGTGGATCCGCCGTGGCGACTGTCTGCCGCAAGGGTAAAGCAGATGTATTCACAGTGTCCTGAAACGGTGATGTAGCTGGCTATTCGGACAGAGTATAATTTCATCTGTTCAGTACAAAATGTGGAAGCGATGAAATACGGAGACCCAATAAATACGGCATCTACGTGCTAGCCCACCCACCCACATCTTGTATATATGTTGAGAAAACCTCCTTGCGGCCGCTGCGCAAACCACACTAGCAGGAAGCTGCGCGAAGTGATGGATACCTTCCAGTGTACTTTTACACTTCCTTTTCGTCGTGTTGCTTTACAGTATCTCCGTGGGGACGTGATACGTGCCTCCTAGGGGGCGCACAGTTCTCTCTCCAGGTTTCACGTTCTGCAGTGCTGCTGAATCTGACTGGAGGTGTGCCGCCGCCACTGCTGGTCCCAGCACAAGCTGCAAAGACCTCCATAAACATGCCAAGCTTCTAATGAAACGTCCCCATCAAGACCGTCGATACGTTTTGTTTTCTATCCCGCATCCATACAGCAATCAGGAGCATTGATGCCGTCCCATGCGCCACACATTAGTTGTGGTTTTGATAAACCGCAGAAACTGATTGCGGTCGGATACGTGGCCACAGAACAAAGTCTATACGCGGCTACGTGTCACAAGCGATCGTTGATTCGCCGCTCAACCCAACATGCTGACACGGCAGTATCATCGGATGCGCACTGGCTCTGTCATGAATGTATCAGTCATTGCTCGAATGTGTAGCCTTGTGTGCGCTGCCTGTCACACTATGGGAGCTAATTGATATACGCACGCATTGTTAATGTTACCACGAAAAGCAAGACAACTGCAAAAATAATCCACACAGTACATGTGTATGGATTTTTTGGTTCTAGTACACTTTAGAAGGCGAATTGTACGTTTGATAAACTAGGACCTAAGGCTGTATTTCAATCCCACTATAGCTTTTCCCCCTTCAGAGGCACGATGTTCACTCACCTGACAGCTTTACATTGCTGCTGTATTTGAGTGCAGGCACCAAGGTGCGCCGCATAAGCAATTGCCGTATTGGATGCCCACCAAACAATTTGCTCCCACCAATCCATAGGCATACACCTTGGCGATGCGCAACGGGCGATATGCCGTGCCGTAGATATCCCCCACGCACGCAAATACCAACCATCCTTTAAGCAGCATTTCAAACCCGTTAATATAGTATGACGTGAACGCGCACCTCCCCTGAGATTCATAGTCTTTCGCGAAAGCGCG